CGCGAAATATTTTTCCCGCCGTGTTTTAGGTTAGTTTCGTTTTCTTGGTGAATTTGCTTTTTTTTTTTTTTTTTTTTTTAAGAAAGAAAGAAAAAAAACATAAAATAAGAAGAAACCTAGAAATATATATATATATAAAGATTTTTTATATAATTATAACCAATTTTCACCCCAATTTTGCCCTCTTTTCGCAGGTAAAGAATTTTGTCGGCTTAAATCATTAATATTTGATCTGACGGAACTATTTCTATAACCAATACTTTCAATATCATTATTATAATAATCAGCATAAATATTACCGTTTTCACTACTACCATTATTATAATAATCAGCATAAATATTACCATTTTCACTACTACCATTTGGTGCTGAAGATCCACCAGGAACTGCCATCACAAATCCATCCCAATCATTATTATTATTTTTACGATGTTTTCCTTCTAATTTCCATAATGCATAATCTCTACTAGTTAATTCACTAGCATTCCTTTTATGCATCCTTTTCCAATATAATTTTCCTGCTGTAATATCATATGCTGGTGGACTCATCATTATTGAATCGTTATTATGTGTCATTTCTGGTCTAATAATGTTTTGATTTTGATTTTGATTTTGTAGATTTTGCATATTTCTTTGTACATTATTTTCATCTAAATTATCTTTAAATTCATTTGTTTTTGCTAAACGTTTCTTTACTGCAATATATCTAGTTAATAAGATTGTTGCTATAAAGATTATTATCATCGAAATAAATATTAATAAAATTTGCCACCAAGCAAGTCCGTTATATTGTGGTGTATTTGATATAGAATCAGGTGAAACAAGAGTATTTGTTTGTAAATTATAACAAATTTTTTCAGATTTTATCAATTGACTACCTGCTGGACATGATCCACTACAAGTACCATTTATCAAAACTTTTGATTGATCTGCACATCCAAGACATTGATTAGAAAGTGAACCGACACATGAAGAACATGCTGAATTACATTTTTGACATGCTCCTGTACTATCTGCATAACTTCCAATAGGACAAGTTTCAACACATTGACCTCCGGATGTTAATATTGGACGAGTTGAAGGACATTTTTTACATTGATTAAATCCTGGACCGGAACACTCTAAGCAATCGTGATGACATTTTGTGCAGGCTGTACTCTGAGAGAAATATGAAGATGGACATGGAGTTGAAGAACAGATTCCATTCATCGCAAATTGATTTGACGCAGAACATGATAGACACTGAGATGCAGTAGGTCCACTGCAAGTTGCACATGAACTATCACATGCTATATTAAGATAATAGAAGAATAGAAATATTATTTGGACATGAAATTATTTCAATATTCTAAATAAACTCTTTAAAAAAATTCGATATATCAAATATAAAAATTTTATACTAACCTATGCAAGTTAAATTGTCGCTTGGATTAACAAATTTTCCAGAAGAACAAGTCTTAACACAATTACCATTATCAAGTACAAATCCTGGAAGGCATTTACTACATTGTACACTATTAGTCGGACTGCTAATGTCGGGGTTTGTTAATGAACAATCAAGACATGCACTTGGACAAGCTTTTTAAATTATACAAAAAAATTGATTAATATTAACGTCTTGTGAGAAAGCTATTATACTCGACAATATGTTTCAATTTAAAAAGCTATCTACATAATGTTAGAAGTAAAAATTTCTAAAAGTTTACCGATAACTTTATATTTTACAAAAGTTATCAGTAAACTTTTTGAAAATTTGCCTTATGTGGAGTAGATTTTTAAATCGTTGAGTATAACGATAATCTCAGAAAAAATTCAAATGAAACCGGTGTTATATTTATAGGTTTAATCCAGTTTTATCCAGTTTTAACCTATGAAAATATAAAATTGGTTCCAAACAACAAATAATGACATACCATCGCAAACACTTTTGGTGACATTAACAACGAAAACTTGATTTCCAAGTGAAGATACGCATTTTCCATTTGCCGAAGGAGTGACACATTGACTTTCTAAATAAAATTTCGGCGCAGCACATTTCAAACACTGATCAGGACCAGAACCGAAGCAAGTTTGAAAATTAATATTACAAGGAGTACAAGTATTATTTGCATTAGCAAATTGACCGGAAGGACAAGTATTAACTTGAGGAACACATTGAGTTGGATTATCAGTTGCAAAGTTTAGTCCGGCTAAACAAGAAGTACATTTTCCGGTTTGTGAATCACATGTAGCGCACCCTATTGCACACGCCTTGGCATCACTACCAGATAGAAAGTAACCCGCTTTAGGAACTGTACAATTCGTGTTTGGGTCCCAGCCGGCGTTACAAGTACATTTTCCTTGACTATCACAAACACCATTGCCGCAATTACATGCTAAAAATATAGATATTTAATATTAGGTGAAATAAAATTTATAAAAATATATAATATATATAATATATATATTATTAAAAAAACTTACGTTGACAGTTTGGACCAAAGAATCCGGCAGCACAAGTACTACAATTAGTGCCATTAAATCCAGTAGGACATTTACAATTACCGGATCCAAGTAATCCATCATCACAGATACCGTTACAATTCGATGGGCATGCTATAAATAAAACATAAAAAATGGTATAAAAATAATGATCATAATCATATTCAAAATTAACATAAAAAAATATATAACGATAATAATACCTTGACAATTTGGACCCCAGAAACCAGGGGCACATTTATCACATTGAGTGCCTACAAATCCAGGTTTACAAGTGCATACATTATCTGATGAACAAAAACCACCGGAAGCACATTCATTTTTACATGTATTTTTAGATACATCTAAACTTCCAAGAGAAAATTGACTAGATTCAGTTAAAACACCGGAAAAACTATGAATTGGTTCAAATAAACCAAAATCATTTCCAGAAAAATTTGAAGAATGCCATATAATAACTCTTGAATCTACAGGCATCATAATAGAACCAACACTTTTTGAAGTAGGGATTTGAGATCCAACATTATAATATTCACTTGCACCAAAATAATTTTCATATTCATAAGCAATTATTCCAGGCATTATCTTTACAATTATTGTAGAAGTTTTATCATTTATAGGTAAAAGGCTAGCCATATCAGAAGTATAAGTTATAGAATTATTATTTCCATTGTTAATAATGAATTGGAAACCGGGAGGAACTTCGATAGAAAATGGAGATGAAAACATGGAAGAGGGAAGATTTTGGAATGTATATGTGTTTGTCGTTAATTGAACATAATTGCCCGCGAATAATGTACTTGGATAAAAGTTAACCGCGTCTTTAAAAATGAAATAATAAAAATAACATAAAATGAAGTAATTAAATGAAATAAATTAAATAAAATGAATTAATAAGAAAATGAATTGATAAATAAAAAACATATAATAATATAAAGTAAAAAAATACATACTTGGAGCGACATTAAAAGATTTCCAAGACATAGATTCAACACCAGATTGGCAGGGATTTAAACCAAAATTATTACCGATAATTGCTAAACATTGACCAACATTGGAACTACTCATTAAATTATCATTACTGAATTTCCATTTTTGAGAAATACTTTGATCGCACGGGCAAACTTGCACACCACCATTTGAAGTGACAAGACAAGCTTTATTATCCGACGATTCAATAAAAACATCAGTTGAATTTGTAGAATTGAAAGCTATTAATTGATTAACTGGTATTATATTCCATTTAACAGAATTTGGAACATTAATAAATCTGTTAGTTGGACAAGTTGTTTGGGAAAGTGGGACGCAAGAAGTGGATGCGGTATCTGAGTGTTGAAGACAGGATTGACTGTCACCATTACGGATTAATTTTGCTATTTATGATTGATAAAAGTTCATTCGTTAGCGTTTATTATAATTATATGTCGTGATTATGCGAGTGATCTGATCATTTATGATAACTTACAAGCAGGTACGAATTGTGTCCATGATGTCAAGATCAATATAACATAAAAAAATATTACGTTTCGGTTTTTCATTTTATAAATATAAATGTATATTAATTAAAAATAAATATATAACTTTGATAAATAAATAAATAATATATATATGTATATCTTAAAATAGAAAAACCAAAAAGAAGCCTAATAAAATATATTACAAGTGTAAAGCAGCAAGACACCAGGTCTTCGCTTTTACACAGAGGAAACAAAAACTGAGATAGAAAATTTGGGTTGAAGAAAAAACAAACATTTCAGAAGTTCTTTATATACTAAAGAAGTAGTGCATAAAATATCATATAAGCAAGGTTTAATATAGTAGTATGTACGTACAATTGACTATTATACATTAAGGGATTATCCTACGTATATGTGTTTCGAATAACCAAAACTGGTTAATTGCTGTTACTCTAAATTGAATCTTATCTTTGTAACCAAGTTCACAACCATCAGTTTTTAGACCTCAGTCCTAAGAAGCGTGTATATTGCACATTACATGTTTATTTAACGCGGAGAGATGATCTATGCCAATGCTAAAACTAATGCAAATTTTTTTTTTTCGTTCTTTAATTATGTTATCTTTAAATCTTTAAATTTGATTTGATAGAATTTTAAACAATCATAGCGATCCTATATATAATACTACATATTATTACCCTATTAAAAAATAATAATTAATATATTGTGTTGTTAAGGCATAATTACCTAATGAAGGAGTAACTGTAATTAATTTTTGCCTTATTTATATACAGAATTGTACACCAAATGATCAAAAACGTCAAACTATTTTTATATGTAACAGTAATACGAGTTTTAGATTCGTTCTTTTCAAGCATCAAGTGTGCATATCGAATATGTACACATAAGTTCTTACGTGCGTACGTTACAGTAATACTTACCTAGGTGCGTACATTACGGTAGTACTTACCTACTTACCATTACCTATTTGATATGATATCCTTAATAGGATTCAGAAACATTCAAAAATTCCCCTATCTCAAGATTTTCGAATGACCAAAAATCCAATCTGAAATTAAATTTATGAAAAAAGAGAAACTCAATTAAATTTGTATTGGATATTCGCAATAACACTCAATTCTGAGATCGATTGGTGTTAAGTTTCATAATTTTGGGAGAAAAATGTTTGAGAGACAATAGGATTGACAAATAAATCTCTAAATATTTACATATTTATATTTATATCGAGTATAATTAAGTATGTCGGAGACAATATATCTTATACGTATAACATGTATGCGTAATTTTTTTTAGATATAAATATGCAAGAAAATTATCTCTTACTAAGCATCCTCATTATTAATCTTTTGATGTGTTGTCACGTTTAAAAGAGTATAATATAATTATGGCTAGCTAAAAACTTTGATTTTCATAAATTGAATTACGATATGTTATTTTGGGTATTTATATTTCCTTAACTATTAACGTTAACGCTAAATTCCGAATTAATTGTTTGCCAATTAGTTCCTTTTTGATTAAAAAAAAAAAGGCGTTAAATAGAATATAAATTGCTGCAAGTGTGATTTGTCACTAACGCTATCCATTCATAGAATCAAATGGACAAATAAAACTGCTTTGCATTATTCCTTGTGTAATAACTTGTCTACCACTCCCCAATACTAATACGTTTTAAATTGTTTTTTTTTATTCATGTATATGTAGCACATGCGATCAATTTCGCCAAAAATGATTAGCTTAATTAGAAACAGAAATCCGCTGTAAATTTAAAAAAAGATGTAATCAAAGGCCTCTGTTACTGCATTAATAGGTTGGTTTGTTAAGTTATCCGTTTTACAAACAGAATTACTATTAAATCGATGTAAATTTAATCTAAATTGACCTGTTCCGATCCAAATGCTTAATTTTATAAACTACTAACATACCGGTATAAAATTCAATCGTACATACTATGAGTATACTTTAAATGATCTCAAACAGTACTGTGCGTGCATGTACCGTTTATAATTTTGACTGTAATTTAATTTGGATCCAATAGTTTTATATCGATCATACAATATTACTATATTAATCATCTATACTAATTATGTTTTATCAAAAAAAATTCTTAAATTTACACAAAACTGGAAAATTTTAATATAAAGTTTAATATTAATTCAAAAAAATATATTATTACATATATATTAAATATATTGAATAACTCGTAAAAGTTTTATTTACATTTATTCTATTTTTTAATGTAATATTTAAGAATGGATCAGTCCGATCCAGTCCGTCCTAGTCCTTGACAAGATAAGTCTATTAAAGTTTTTTGGTCTGGTCTCGGTCCTAAAAGACGGTCCTAAAACTTCAACAATTTTATTGGCTAACTGAGAGATTAAAATCATATTATATCAGGTTATCGAATTAGCAATTACGTATTGTGAGGGGCGGATTCTGGGCTACCGGGTCCTTCTTAGTAACATTAGACAATACAGGGCAACTCAAAAGAGACGTGGTATATTTGATCCGAGAACCAAGGATTTAACTGCTACTAAGATCCTAATCTTAACGTTAAAGGTGGGTCTTTATTAAACAACAAACGATATCTTATCTATCTGCTCTTTAATAACAGAGTTACAAGACTTTATACAAGAAAGATACATGAGGTTTGACACACACAATTTAACTAAATTGAGCGTCAAAGGATCTACAAGTTTACAATGATTCATTTACATGACCTTTGTTCTCACAAAGCCATTATTCAATTGTTCTAAAGGGGCTTCGCCTCGAGCCAAACCCAATATGTATAGCATTTATTAGGTGCTAGTTTCACATGTCGGGATCTTGCGACCCAATACGTATAGCATTTATTAGATTCTAGTTTCACATGTCGGGATCTTGCGGCTTAGCTTCGGTTCTTGGTTCTGGTCGTGGCTTCTGTTCGGTCAGGCCATGATCACGTTTATCACGTGCCTATGGCTAGGTCACGTTACCATCTCACTTATGTGCATACAGCTAGGTCACGTTTTCTTTCTTTATTGAAATTAAAAGATGTTAGATAACTGAATTTAAAAGTAGTAATATACTGTATTATTTTTATAGAAGTTATCATGTGGTATATTAATTACAATTACACAATATATTATTAAAAGAATCCAGTAATTAAAATATTCAACCGTTTGTAACTTTTAAATTAAATCTTTTATTTACTTTTGAACAAATGTATTTGTAATGTTTTATATATAATATTAGCTAATTATTGATGTATAAATACTCTAAATTCTAATATAATAAATTATATAAAAAACTTAAAAAATTTAAAAATAGTAAAATGATTTTATTATAAAATGTTTATTTATAATTTCTCAATTCTCTGTAAATCAAGTTAGTCATTAATAATGATTTATATAAATAAAATAGTAAATAAAGATACGTACAAATTATAAAATATAATAATTTATGATCATTCAATAAAATATCAATTAATTTTTAAAGCTTTAGTAATCAAGAACTATAATTTTCGACTTTTCTCAAGAAATTATTTTTTATAAATTATTTTGGCGAATAATACGATGGTTCATTAATAATGTGTTTATTCAAATTTTGGAATTTTTTTTCGGGAAACTTAATACAAAATCAACGATTTCGAAAATTAGAAGATTGATTCATGATTGTACGACTTAAAGGTACAGCTAAAACTCCTTAGTCTTAACTGTTACAGTTTAGTTGAAACGACGCATAAAAAAGGCAGTAAATTATGTAGCAGGTTGTTATCTATGTAATAAACACTATATTGTATTTTCGCATAATAAAGGGCATGGGCGTTATTTAAAAATCATACGTACGTACTATTTCTCCTAAAAATAGTATGCGGTTTCAAATAACGCCTATATGCGTCTCAAAATAACGTGCGACCATATAAAGTCATTATTCCAGGTTTTATAGATCTGAGTCTATGCATTGTATAGCTAATTTGGGTGAGATCTTTGCTCGTTTAATATTTCTAAAATGATAAAAGTTCTATATGCATCCGATATGTACAAGGTCGATACTCCGGACGTAGGGTGTCCAGAATTATCAGAATTATACTACTACGTAGCAGAATTTAGCATAAATTAAGTCTGCTTAGGGTTGTGTTACGAAAATTACATTTTTACATTTCATGTAATTTTGCGTAAGTTTCACGTTCAGTAATTTGTAATTTTGATCATTTGATATATAAAGCCAGAATTATGTAGTTTCGGCTGGTATTATTATTTCTTTACAACTACTAAATTACATGCAGATTTTATTCTTCGGTGCAATTATCGTTATCAAATTCATACCTACCATATCTTCTTCACTTATATCGTTATTATTTAGGTCACCACTTTGCTCTTGATTATTTAAGGTAACACTACAAGTTTTTTCTACAATATGCGGATCTCTAACTAATATAGATCTTTTTAATTGACGAAGAATTCGTATATTTTAATATATAAAAACAAGTTTTTCTGCTTTTTCAGTAAGCATGCAATTATGTAATTTTGAATGAATAAACCTATAAGCAGACCAATTACGCTTATTAGCCACGGAGTTGCTGAAATTGATATGATTTTTAGTGCAATTGAATTCAAAATAAATAGGATATTATTTATTTTAATTACTTATTAGACATTAAAACCTAACTCTAACTCTACTAATCTATACTTTTACTTAAACCCAACATGTTTTCTCTGCTAAGAATATAGTCTGAACTTACTAGTGTATATACTCTAGAAATATTAGCTACTCTTTTAACAATATTTCTTAGTTGAAAGATATATCAGAACTCTTCTAATAAACCTAAACTTAATACAAATTATTTAAATCTACTATACTTAATATTACTTTATAATTCTTTTACTATTCTTTCATTTCTAATTCTTTTTCAATTTTTATGATCTTTAATTTTAATAATGCTACCTAATAACTAGAACAAATCTACTAAACAAATTAGAACTAATAGCTATTTGTTTTCTATACAGATAGATCAGTTATTGATATTTGTAC